ATTATTAATAGGTAATAATACAATTAAGTATATTATTCAATAATAAAAATAGTACATATTATATAGTAATAAAAATTTAACTCTTATTTTTACTATTTATTAAAGATTTAAAAACACTTTGGCTTAAAATAAACTTGGCTTTCTTTGTAAAAAAAATAACCAGTTATTATTAAAGATATTTTAGGCAAATAAATAAACTAAGAAAGAAGAAACTATAGAATTCTGGTTATATATAAGAAAATCAATATAAAAATATTCTAATTTTTTTTCTTAAAAGTATTCAATAATTTCTATAAACAATTATATAAATTTGTATAGCAAAAATACAAAAATAATTGTAAATTAAATAAAACATGCTTTTTCTATTAATATATATATTTAGCTTTAAATTTTATTTAGCTTATAGACAACTTAAAATTTTTTTATACAATTATAAAAATTAAATTTATTAAAATATAATCTATATTAATAGTTAATATTTAAAAAAAAACTTTTTTAAATAACTTAATTTTAATAAAAATAAATCAGAAGCAAATTTTATAAATCTCTTATAAATTCTAGCAGGCAAATTTGCCTACTAAAATTGATGGTTTAAAGAATAACATTTTGCTTCTTTACAATATCACTCTAATAAATTTTTATCACAGCCTATTGTTAATAAGTAATAATATAATTAAGTATAAAAATAATACATATTATATAAAATAAAAAAATTTAACTCTTATTTTTACTATTTATTAAAGATTCAAAAACACTTTAGCTTAGAATAGACTTGGCTTTCTTTGTAAAAAAATGACCAGTTATTATTAAAGACATTCTAGACAGATAAATAAACTAAGAGAGAAGAAACTATAGAATTTTGATTATATATAAAAAAATCAATATAAAAATATTTTAATTTTTTTTCTTAAAAGTATTCAATAATTTCTATAAACAATTATATGAAGTTGTATAGCAAAAATACAAAAAATAATTGTAAATTAAATAAAACATGCTTTTTCTATTAATGTATATATTTAGCTTTAAATTGTATTGCAAAAAAAGAAAACAATTAGTTTTTATACAAACAAGCTATATAATGATCAGCTAATCAAATATATGCTTTGTGATACAGTTTTTTAATTATAGTGCCCTATCAATCAAATTTGATTATGCAACGCTAACCTCAGTCTACCGGATTAAGGGTTTGAGAACTCAATTTAATGTAAATGTTGCTATCGGTTTTCTAACTTAAAGATTTGTTATTTAATAAATCTAAATATTAATCAAAATCTGAAGAGACTTTATTTGTATAAAATGCAAGACCTTTTATATACCTTCTATTCATATCTAATTTTCTAAGAACTGCCCTTAGTTATCAGCTACACAGTTACGATTTAATAAAACTAAATGTAATAATCATGGATAAATACGAACATGATGAAAATAAACTTAAAAATACAGTAATACAATCAGTTTTCGATATAGTTACAAATTGTAAAAAAAATTTGTATTCATTTTATCAATTATATAAAGCATGAGAAAAGTAACCTCTGTATAGGCACTAAACCTTAGTCATATTGGAATTTTTGTTACCAATCAAGAGATTATATTGAAGTTTGACTGTATAAGTAGTAAATAAAAGCAGGAATACAAAAAGGGCAACACGGACAAAGAATTAAGTGACATATGAGATGAAATAATCGTAAACCTAATAACTAAGATAATTTATTTCCAAAACCATATAAAGGTCTATCTGTGCAAACACTAATGACATTTCTTACACAGATACCGATTTAGATGGCAAATTAATTTTAAGATGAAACTTCACCTTACAACAATTCAGTTCCTATGGAATTATAAATTTTGTTTCATTAATACTATGACGAAAAAAGAAATAAATAACACTTGCATTACCTATTAAAATAAGTTGAGAATAAGTTGAGATGCATAAGGATCTCGCTGTGGTGTTTCAAATTGTAAAGAAATGATTTCATCCTCTTCAAGTTGAGATTTGTATTTTGCATCTGGATGTCGTTGCAAAGCTTCCAACTGTGAAACAATCATTTTATCAGCTTTTAAAAATTCATTTTTAATTTTAAGCTCATCATTTAATACTTTAGTTCCTTTATCGAGAATTATTTTCCATTCTCGTAATTTCTCACAAACTTCTTTAGCAGTTGGTCGTTTTGTTGGATCACTGTCCATACATTGGTTGGCAAGTTTAACATAACATTCAGGTGTTCCTTTTGCGAATTCTGGTCTCAATCTATTAAGAACTTTTTGTATTTGTACTGTCTTACGTGACAAATTTTCAAAAGGTGGCTTTCCCGTTGAAACTTCAGCCATAATTACACCCAAACTATAAACATCTGAAGCTTTTGTATACGGTTGGCCCAATAATACTTCATCAGCAACATATTGTACTACTCCATATGTTCCACCATCTACATTAATTTCATCTATTCTACTAGAAAGTCCTAAATCTGAAATCTTTGGTTCAATATTCGACTTTTTCCCAATGTCTTGCGTAATCATTATTGCTTTATTATTCACCTTATAAGTACTATATAATAAAGCATTTAAATTAAAACTTCCAGTACTAACTATAAGTATATTACCACTGTGAAAATCTTTATGAACATATCTTTGATGAATATAATCCAGATTATCCGATATAGAATAAAGAAGTTTTAATTTTTGTTTCCATGTAAGACTTGCAAAATTTTCAGATAAATAATGTCGAAGATCCCCTTTATCCGCATGTTCAAAAACCATCATGTACTCCTTTCTATTAGTATTATAAGTTATTCCATATGTTTCTATTCCATATTTTTCTACGCTAAGTTTTTCAAGTTGGCATTCATATTGTGCTTTAAACTTTAAGCAAGAAACAAACTGTTATTCATTTTATTTTGGTAAAGATAAACTATTTAATCTATGTAATTTCTTACCTCATTTAAAAAATCCAATGAAATATTTTGTGTTCCAGTTAAACTTTTAAGCGCAACTTTGCAAAATTTCTCACGTGCCTTTATTAATTTTCCTTTTGTTTCATTCCAACTATAAGCTCGTTTACCATCAATCCAAGTAGCAGAATAAATTGTGCTAAATCCACCTTTACCAATTTCTTGAATATTTTCTAATCTATCAAAAGGTATCCACTCAATAACTTTATGATAATATGGCGTATTCATTTGGGCATGTTTTATAAATTCATCTATATTCATATTTCCGCTGGTCCACTCTTGATTTATTTGAGAATCGCATAAATGACAAAAGTCAATTCCAGAATTATACTGTTTGCAATTTGTACATGTTCCAAATCTTAGAGATGTTGCCCCGCTAGTGTTTTGCATATTCGTACGGTGAGATTTAATTAGCGATTCGTTTAAATCTACATATGATTCTTCATATCTGCCCATTTCTTGATAAACTAACCCACGGTTAACTAATGCAGGCTCATAGTTTGGATCGATTTCTAATGATTTATTAAAATCTACAAGTGATTCTTTATATTTGCTCATGCTTTGATAAGTGAATCCTCGATTATTTAATACTACTGCAGAATTTGGATTGATTTCCAATGATTTATTAAAATCAACAAGCGATTCTTCATACCTGCCCATTCTTTGATAAGTTAATCCTCGATTATTTAATGCTTCTACAGAATTTGGGTTTATTTCTAACGACTTATTTAAATCTGCAAGTGATTCTTCATATCTTTTTATTTTATAATAAGTTAATCCTCGATTACTTAATACTTCTTCAGAATTTGGGTCAATTTCTAATGATTTATTTAAATCTACAAGTGATTCTTCATATCTGCCCATGCTTTGATAAGTTACACCTCGATTATTTAACGCTTTCATAAAGTTTGGACTAATTTTTAATAATTTGTTTAAATCCTCAAGTGATTTTTCATATTTGCCCATGCATTGATAAGTTACTCCTCGATTATTTAATGATTCGACAAAATTTGGATTGATTTGTAGCGCTTTATTTAAATCTTTAAGTGATTCTTCATATTTGCCCATGCTTTGATAAGTTAGTCCTCGATTATTTAATGTTTCTACAGAGTTTGGATTGATTTCTAATGATTTATTTAAATCTACAAGTGATTCTTCATATCTACCCATATTATGATAAGTCATTCCTCGATTACTTAATGCTTCTGCAGAATTTGGATTAATTTCCAATAAATTATTTAAATTCTCAAGAGATTCTTTATAATTGCCCATGTTTCTATGAGCTATTCCTTGAATATTTAATGCCCCTTCAAAATTCGGTTTTATTTCTAATGATTTACTTAGATCTTGAAATAATTTTTTATATCTTCCTAGTTTGAAATAAATTTGCCCTCGAAAGCTTAATGCTGTTGCAGAATTTGGGTTGATTTCTAATGAATTGTTTATATCTACAAGTGATTCTTCATATCTGCCCATTATGAAATAACAATGAGCTCGATTTCTTAATCCTTCATCCAAGTTTGGATCGATTTCTAATGATTTACTTAAATCTACAAGTGATTCTTCATATCTTTCTAATTTGATATAAGTTAACCCTCGAAAACTTAATACATCTGCAGAATTTGGGTTGGTTTCTAAAAATTCACTTAAGTCCTTAAGTGATTCTTCATATTTTCCTATTGTAAAATAAACTACCCCTCGAAATTTTATTAATTCTGCAGAATTTGGATTGATTTCTAATGATTTGTTTAAATCCTCGAGTGATTTTTCATATTCTCCCATATTGAAATAAGTTAACCCTCGAGTGTTTAATGCTTCCACAGAATTTGGATTGATTTCTAATTGTTTATTTAAATCCGCAAGTAATTCATCATATCCTCTTATGGTTTGATATCCTTTATATTTATTCAGACGCAAATACAGATATCTTAAAATAAAACACGTAATGATTAATATACAAATGTAAAAAATGCCCATTTTTTAATAAATGCCGTGCTTTATTTCAATAACGAACAATCGATAATTTGTAGACCAGAAATGCAATTTATTTATGGCAATTAATGTTAGTATACGTAAACCCAAATGTTATAACACTTTAAATTAATGTTTTGATGTTATGAATTGTGTCACATTTAGTACTTAACGAAGGGAGGTTAGAATTGATAATCATTACTGCGGTTTGCAAAAGGTGTGACCTCTGCAGATCATTTTGAATTTGTTGCCACAATTTGTTTTTCAGCAACGACAGGGTTCTTGTCGGGTGTCTTTGCTTGATCCAACATTATTATTCGTAACATAATGTAACAAAAATTATATAATTACCCCTATTTGATTTTGCCCGATCTATTTTGCCATATATGTTCTTGCGGTGTAATGTGCTTTCCTGCATTTGATAATGTAGTAAGCGACATTCACCGAGTAAGATTGCTAGCTAACTTTTTATGTTATTTCGTAACATCTTCACGCATAAGATCGTCAAAACAATTTCCCCGCAATACTTCATTTTTTTAATACTAGATACATGTACATGTACTCCTACATGTACAGTTGCCTCACAAAGTTTATTACGAAAAAATATAAAATTTATACAAATCAACGATGTAAATATGCTTACGTATGTACGTTCGTATGCTTTTTTGCATAAATTTTTACGTACGTACGTATGTATGTACGTATGCGTTTTTGCAAAAATTTTGTTGTTAAACTTTATGAGGCAACTATACATGTACTTGTACATGTAAAAAAAATATTTTTCTTTTAGAGAACAAGAAAAAAAAGATTAATCGAAATCAAAAATATACTCGCACCTGGAAAATGTGTACTGGGTTGGGTTTAGATGATGGTCCAGAAAATTAGGTCGGAAGAAATAATCGGAACTGGAAAATCAATTTAACTACAATAATTATGTATTATCATAATAATATCAATTTAACTATTAATTATTAGTAATAAAAAGTTAAAAAATAAATTTACTTTTGCAAAAATTTCTCTTTTAAGAAAAAAATTGTAAAATTTGTTGCAGGTATACATTTTTTATAACTATAAAGCTCATAATACTGTAGTTGAATAATAATAGAATTTATTGTAAAATACTATTTATAAACTTAGTTATACAATTTAGAATTTAAATAAACTAATGAATGTATCAAATCTAACTTTACCACTTCAGCAAATACTTCCATCGCTTTATGAATATCAAATTGAGAATTACAGCAAATTGAAGTCTAAAGTTACTTCAGAAAATGTATTAATTGGACAGATCATTATCAATTTATTGGCAAATATTGAAACTAAAGAAGATGCTTTGAAATGAATTAATGCATTTCAAGAAAAATCTAAATCAACAATGTGTTTAACTCAAACTTACTCAGTCAAAGGAGATAAAGTTATTTTTAGAAAGATGAGATATTGTATTCACAATAATTTGGTAAACAAAAAATCACAAATATAGAATTAAAAATCTACATAGCCTGTAAAATAGAGATATAAATTGCATAGCAATGCTTGTTTTTCAATTAAAAAAAATATAATTTGTTTGAAATTAATCTTCATTTTACACACAATCACCTTCTTAATTCTGCTGCTTCACTAAGTTTTCGACTAGTTGGGCTTGAAACACAAAATAGATATGCTAATTTATTTAAAATAAAATATTCTGCAGCTACTGCATAGCATATTTATAAAGATAAGTTATATTTGTCAGCATCTGAAATAATGAATTAACATAAATATTAGCTAATAAATCAAAGAATCCTAATAATGGGTTTATTAAATATTTTTATAATAAGTTTTATATTGAACACTTAGAAGATTCAAATAAATAGAGATGTTTAATAAGTTATAAAAAGTTAAATTATATATAACAATTCTAATAACAAAAAGCAGTACACTAAGTATACATTTCTTTAATACAGTACTCTTTTATTCTTTGCATTGTGACAAATCTAATGATGCAGATTTATAAAAAAATATATTAAGCTGATGAAATATATCATTTTAATATATCAGCTTCTTTTGACAGCTTAATACACCAATTACACTTCTCTATACTAATTTTTGCACTACTAATATACTTTTATTAAGATTATTTTTAACATTTAATGAATCTGAAATTATGATTAAAAATGCTCTCAATTATTCAAAACAATTTTACCAAAAAATTTATTTTATAATATAGATTATAACTTGGGTCTATAATTATTATAACAGATGATTCATATATAAAGCATAATACATACTCTTTATATTGACCAAATTCTATTAGATTACTTTGTGTTTTTTATATTTTGTAGTCACTTTGGTAACTATTGTATAACTCAAAACATAAAATTTATAATAATAACTAAATATCAATTATGCAATTATTTAAAAAAATTTTATATGCATTCACAATTTCTGAAATGGAAACTGTATATATTACTTTAAAAGAAACCTACTTTACTAAATATGCTCAATTAACAACAAACATCTTACGACTTTAGAAATAACATACTATATGGGCATTATTATATTGCTAAAATATATTAATTCAAAAAATCATATAAATAATTATATTGAAAAAGCTTTGGTCTTATAAAAAATATTGTCTTTGCTTAACTCAAGCATTTAATGCTATACAAATCTTCTATTTTATTACAACAAAAATTGAATACTTTTATATTTGATGATTAATAGCAATTGCAAACTGTTATCTAGGCTATCTTGAACTATCAAAATAAGTTCTTTGTTTTGAACAGCAATAAATTGATTTACAAAAGATTTAATTTAATAGTTCAACTAGCTTATATATAGTATTACGCACAAATACTGATAATTTTTATATTATTGACCTATCTATAAAAATATATACTTGTTTTGCAGTACTTGGTAAAGTGCAATGTGAAATTAGATAGTGGTTACAGTAAAATATCATGTAGGGTCTTTTAATTATATTTCAACACTTACTCTTGATGACTGTGAAAATATAGATATATTGTATGTGGTTAGTAAATATGCATTATCAACTAAAGTTATGATAAAAATATTAATCTAAATATTTATATTGTAATTTGCTAAAAATATGGTTGCTGAAGATCCAACATTTTATACATCTTTATGGACATGTATTAATAAATAAAATAATGAAATAACTAGTAAAATTAGTGAATATAAAATAAAATTGCAAGTAATATAAGTATTGAAACAAGTAATATTCAATTATCTAAAGAGAATATCATAATTAGGTTAGCATATAAAACTTTATTTTTTTTTTATTTTTTATTTTTTACCTTTGAAATGTCATGGAAGGGTGAATTTTTATTAGGTATATTAGTAGTACATTCTTGGTTAACGAGAATACATTCTAGCTATATCTGCACCTTTGAGCGCCTAATTAAGTAGCTATCTATTACTAGGGTCTATACTAGATGCCGTACTTATAATCCACTATTACTTGAGCTATCCAATTAAACTTTCTGATGTCTCCCATCCTGCACCACCACCTTAATTACACCAACCTATAACCTCGTGCTGTTTTATTGAAGACCACCCAAATTAATATATGCTACACTACTTGTACCCTAATTTGATAGATAACCTAGTAGAGTTCTCATACTTACCAGGTTACTCTAGAGAGAGAGTAGTATATATCCTCTAATCTTTCTATATTCCACACATTTTCAGACTAGGCCTTTTCAATAACTTATGCTGAGTCTGAGAACAAGTACTTGCAAGCCGAGGCTGCTACAGTTACCTACTACTGCTCTTGTAAAATTCATCCAAACTCGTGTACTAATTTTATAAACTCTCTCCTATATCTTCAGAAACCCAAACTCCCAATCTGATGGCCTGAAAGGGCAGAACCCTTTCTCTGATTATCTGATGGCCTGGTTGGTATAGTGCCTTGCCAAACACCTTAGTCCCATTCAGTTTTTTGATATTCGGTTGATCATTCTTTACATAGTAACCATTAAAGATCTGTGCTACCTCTTCACTCGGGTCTTGCCAAGCAGGCTCCCATATCCTGTAAATTTGCTAGATTTATCTAGTAGCTTCACTCGAGTTTTGTGTAACTTGTACATCAACATATATGTTCCACTACCTCCCAGTACAAGCTAGTATGACCACTATTACAAGTTCTATAACCCAATAGGATACAGTCTTTCAAATGCATTTTCTATAAATTCGAATTTTCATTACTGGTGGAATTCGAACTCTAGTCCTGCTGCTTGGGGGTTTGACAACTTGCCAACTTCTCTAAGTCACCACACTCTCTATATAAAACTTTATTAAATTTTTAATTCTTAATAATGGTATTAAATTAGAACTTATTTAACTATATAGCAAAAAGTATTTAAATATATATATAGTGTCTATTGAAAGTTTTTTCAATATATTATGGATGATATTAAGAATAATAACCAACTTTTGCTAGTATTGAATATTTTAAAAAGGAGTATAAAAAATCTGAATCTCAATCTATAGGCAAGTTAGCTTCTTATCTGTTTTAACAAAATTCTACATTACAATTGGCAATTACTTAAAGTAGATCAAAGATTAAAGTTTAGCCTGCCTCAATTCAACAAAAAAATCTTATCAGCAAAAAGAAACTATTGATCTGTCTGAAATAAAGATATATAAAAAAGATTAATGGCAAAAAGAATGCATAAATTATCAAAAATATCACAAAAACAAACCAAATTAATAGTTTAAAAGATATTATAATTAGTTCTAATAGTCATTTATTTATAACATTTGTATATATTAAACATTGCTTTGTAGTATTATTAAAAGATATTCAATTATGTTTTTACATAGTTCCAATAGTTATTTGTTCATAACATTTGTATGTGTATATATGTGTTAAATATTGCTCTATAATATTATTTAAATTTCAAAAAAAATAATTTTTTAAAAAATCTTTAAATAAATCAAAGTGCTAATTCTGATTTAAATTTCTAAGCTGTTTTTCAGACCATCATCTAAACCCAACTCAGTACACATTTTTCAGATGCTATTCTCATTTTATATGACATCATGATAGCATTTTTCGACTCAAATACTTTTAGCCATTCAAATAAGAAATTTTATTCGATCAGAAGGTTTATAATACTTAGAATTTTAGAATATAATATGTTACACATAGATTTTTCATCAGTTTGGACAGATCTAAATACCAAAGTTTGAATAAAA